TTACATTCTAATTATCAAATTTAAGACTTTTTGAGACCCCGTGGGAGCCCTGCACAGGGTTCCTGCAGGTTTCACCAACTCAAATGTAAGACTTTTAAGACCACTTTGAATATAATTTAAGACCTATTTCACGGTAAGAAAGTATGAAGGAAAATTGCTACGAAATAAGAAATAAGTCCCATAATTACTTACAAAGTAAATGTATTCAAACCCAAACGTCGACCGGAGGTCGCACTTTGNATGATACGTAACAACATCATTTTGTGACTGCGCTTTCACGCTTTCGCCCCTTCTTTGTTAATACTTTTGGACGTCTGGGGCTTCCGTCGCAGGCCAAAGGCGACGGAAGCCCCAGACGTCCAAAAGTATTAACAAAGAAGGGGCGAAAGCGTGAAAGCGCAGTCACAAAATGATGTTGTTACGTATCATCGCTCATTTTTAAGAGGGCATACGGAAATCACTGGCATTTTCTAGTGGGTATACGGCGTATACCAGCGTATCACGTAGACTACACCACTGCTTAAAAGGTCATAAATATGATCAACAAAATAAGAAAGGTCTTAAATATGATTTAGAAGGTCTTAAAAATGATCGGATTTGAAAGGTACTTCTGTGTTGCGATCACGTCTAAATTTGTTTTACCCGGCCCAAAACAACTTGTTCCCATTGACTAACATGGGGAAAGAAGAGACGTCTGTAAAAACTTTTTTTTAACTAAATAAATTACCCAGTATGAACTATTTTATAGCCCTTATTAGAATCATTCGGTCCTTAAAGCTGTAAAATGCACTAAAAGCCGAATCTAGATTTATTTTCTCTCTCCATTCATTCTACTGAGCCGAGAGTGAGAGCTCGGGGGGTGGGGCTTAAGGGGCGCATGCTCTGTAACTGCACATAAGGGTTCTTCTCTATGGTTCTTCTGCTCCGACTGCCAGGCATGACGAGTAATCTGTGACGTTTCGCTCTCTCAAAAATTGGGCCACTTTGTCTTCCTGCGCCAATTAGCAGCTCTCAAATGAAAGAACGAGACCCTGGTTGCAGTCGAATAGTCCATTTAGCTTGGGAACCTTCCTAACGGAGTGAAATTACCCGAAAGTACCTCAGTGGCAGCCATGACAAGTGCCGTTCGAATTCTCTAGAGGAAAGGAGGCTTCAAACTTCCTTTATAACCTCCTTTAGTTTAAGAACCACTGGACCTCCCTTTACAAAAGGAAAGGAGAAAATGCTGCCCCACAATGCCTTGCAGCCGCAGCATTTGCCGTCACACAACATTCGGCCGTTCACGGAAGCAACCGATTATGACCGAGAAATTATATCATGAAAGTTACGGTGCTTATTAAGCATTTTAAAACGGTAACTTGCCAAAGTGCTTTTGTTTTGAAGGTTCATCACTATTATAATCAAAAAGAGAAATATGAACGTTAGTTTTTACTGAAATGATCAACATTTCACAGTCTTTACTCAGCTATGTGGGGTTTGTTCAACTTTTAAAAGATGTTTTAATGGTGATATACACAGTGATAGATGTTAAGGACTAACGTTCATAATAAATATATTTGTATTGATTTTAAGATATTTTCATAGTTCATACAATCATACGTGTAGTGGCTATTTGTCAACAACAATAAAACTTTAAAAGGCCACTGAGGCACCAGGTACGGCGGATCTTACGCAGATCATGAGTGAGTAAATAAGTCCATTGTCCAGTCAAGGCATCAACGTTTTGTGGTGTTTATTGTCTTCACTTCGGCAAGAACAATACAGCAAAAGGTGTTGAATATTTGCTAGACTCAGCCTTGATACTGCTCTGATGCTGGTAAAAAACCATACACCTTCCCGGTGCTCACTCGCTGCTGCTGTGCCCCGATTGTCCTAAATACACCCAGCTTCGTGCCCAAATTGACCCATCACCTTCAAAATAAAAGCATCCCAGTTGGAACACAACTTAACATAAATTACATGGCTGCAAATTAGCTAGCTCTACAAAACAAATAAATACACAAAATAAATGTGAATAGCTTCCACACTTATTGTAGTTGTAAGTGCACTGCCTTGCGGCCTGTAGCACCATCCTTGATGGAGCATATGTGTGGGCTGGACCTGTATTTTAGGAAAGGAGTGAGCAGAGAGTCGAGTTGTCGATGCTTGTTCAGTTTTTCTGTGACTATCTGTCTCACCCTCTCAGACTTTCAGTTGCGCGCGCTACTAAAGAGACGCGCTACCATGGAAACCAAACAATGGTGTAGCTGTATTAAAGTCCGAGTGGAAACAGTCCTGAGTAAATCTGATTTTGTCAAAAATCGGGAGAAATATGACCCCGGGAGAGGGAAGTGAAATCAGGAGTCTCCCGCGAAAATCGGGAGGGTTGGCAAGTATGATTACAATAGCTACATAAGAACAATGTCAACAAAACTTTAGGAGCAGTTTTATTGGTGTAAAATAAGATTCTTAACAATCAATATTGTAGATTTGATCGCAAACGCTTTGCCTGAAGGCGGCAAGAGGATGATATGTTCTCCTCCTGAGATTAGACTACTGTACATAGTTTAAGTCCCTTCTGGCCTATTTATAGTGTTGGCCCTTGCAACAATGTCATCTGTAACTCGACTCCATCTGTTAAGTCGGAGCATGTTGAATGTCAGTTGCCAGAAGCAGAAGCAGTTCACTTCCCACCAACTCTCCTACCGAGAGCCCCATGGAGATTGTCGGACAACCGGGACCTTCGAGGGCCTGTAGCCTCCTCGGAGTGCCCCTGCTCGGCTGCTGGGACATGGACGAAGATAATTGTGAGGTGCTGATCGGCATCAGGCCAAAATCATCGCCTGTCCCGAGGAGACGGAGCTCTGTTGAGGAGGACGAGGAGCCAGAGACGCCCTTGTCCAGCTCCAGGAGAGTGTCCTTTGCAGACGGAAAGGGCCTCAGTTTGGTGCAAGTGAAGGAGTTTGACACTTGGGATGTGCCCAAGCTGCCAGAATGCAACCTCTCTGTAGGGAATGCTAAAGATGCAGTGGAGTACTTCTTATTTCCTGCAACGTTCTCACTTCCGTTGTCTACTGAGGAACTGTTTCTGAAAGTCCAGACACAGAAAGTGGAGTTGGAGAACATTGAGTTAGTACCAGGGACCACAATACTGAAAGGAGTGGTCCGAGTTCTCAACGTATCCTACAATAAGGCGGTATATATCCGAACCTCTTTGGACTCTTGGTCGAGCCACTTTGACCTCCTGGCAGAGTACATGCCCGGGTCCAGTGACAGTTTGATGGACCTTTTCTCGTTCAGGCTCACCCTGGTGCCTCCGTTTGGGGAGCAGGGAGCAAGAGTGGACTTCTGTCTGCGATATGAGACTCCGTTGGGGACTTTCTGGGCCAACAATAACCACAGGAACTACGTGCTGTCCTGCCACCAGAGAATGGAGGAGAGGAAAGAGAAACCGCAGAAGGAAAATGTAAAGAAAAGCTGCCTAAAGACTGTCAGGTGAGGATGTAAAGTGTTTCACCGGTTGTAAAGTTCACTGCCCATAATAGTTTTAGACACAATGTAATTTGTTTTATTTTCTTGACAGGAGAAATGTCCAATATGCTAAAGGTGGAAGAGCAGGCTGGCCAGTTTCTGACATAGGATTTTAAAAAATGTGGGCTACAGCTAATCCTGATATATCTCTGGTATTGTTGTAAATATAGTATGAATGCCATGAAAAGAGAAGACAAAGTCAAAAGACATTGAATTGTGTAGACTAGCTGAACATGTTTATTAAAGTGTATTATGCAAGGCCTGTATTTGTATGCAATGTACGTTTTAAGCAAACGTGGTGTTAGTATCCTATCCTATAGTATTGCTTGATTGAAATTTAAATATTTTTGGTATCAAATCGTTTCATATCTCAACATGTTTCACTTTGTGGTTTGTCCCTTGTTGAAAGTCACATAAAAGTCTGACTCATCAAAATGTCACTTATCCACAGTCAGTCCTTCTCCACTGTGGAAAACATGTCTGCAACCGAGGCTCCATCTCAGGAAAACATTTCATCAGGTGATGATTGATTTCGCTAATTGTAGAATTAACAAAATTAGGAATTTTAATATGCCTTGACGTACATTTTAATGTCTCTTTTCTCCAGATGTGTCAAAACATACAGAGCAAGCGGACACTATGAAAGCAAAGCAAATCTCTACAAACCAGTCCGCAACATCTGAGGAAAATCAGCAGAAATTATTGGTGAGAAAAATTAAAAAACACAAAATACTTAACTGTCTCTTTTTCCTTTTTGGCACATTTAAACCAAGTCACAACAATGCAGTTTACTAATACATTTAATGGTTTGTGTTTGCGGACTTTAGGCCAATGCGATACCATTTTGCTACTAGGTGAATAAGCATTTATATACTGTGAGCTACATTGATTGGCAAGTAGGGATGTCCCGATCACCTTTTTTTGCTCCCGATCCGATTCCGATCATTTGGTTTTTGACAATTTGCCGATACCGATTTTTCCCGATCCGATCTTTATGCAAGAGAAAAAAAGCATTCAAGTTGTCCCTTAAGGTTATTTTTTAATTTAAATTGGATATTCTATCCAACATGAATATAGCTTCTTTTTTTCACAGCAGCATTGGATCAGTTCAGTTGTGCAGCATTGGATCAAAACAAAATAAAGCTTATCAGTACTCGTTAGCTTACTGCTACAATTAGACACTGCGCACTGCCCACTCTGTTGCCAGATTTGAGAGAAATAAGCAACCAGGTCTATGAAAACAAGCCCCAAAGAAGCAACACATACATGATGTTGTGTAATTTGAAACCAAAACTAAGGCCTCAGGATGACTTTAAGACTTGAACATGGTCATTTTTGTTTTGTAACATTGAATAAAAAATAAAAAAAAAGTATTTAAAAAAAAAAAAAAAAAAATCCAGATCCCCGATTTTTTGAAAATCACGTGATCGGCCCCGATCACGTGATGATGCCTCTATTGGCAAGTTACTTGGGATTATCAAAATATTCTTAAAATTCTAAATCCTTTTCATCAGACTCCACATGATATTTTTGATTGCTTAAACTATCTTTTATTTAAGTACTTAATAGGACATGTTTGATTCATTTTTGGCTATAATAGGAGGTTAAAAGACACCATGTCATGCTATTGAGGTACAGGAGGAACAGAACATGAACCCTGGTGCACTTTCTGAGGGAATATCACATGACCAAATAGCAACAGAGTAAAATCATGTACTCAGCACCTAAAGGACATTCAGTGCTGTCTGCAATTCAATTGGTTATGCATGATATTTTAATACTTATTTTTGATTTTCTTTTTATATTTAGGTAAATAATGCAGTCATGTCATATTATTTATTCAGATCATGTTACACCTAACACCATGTGAGAAAATAACAATGATATATATCCCTGTTGTTGATGGACAGGCCGAGAGCAAACAGGCCTCCAGCCAAAGAAATCGCAGGAAGGCTGCAAGGATGGCTTGGCTGAAGGACTACTTTTCACAGGAAAATGGAGGAGCGGATGACACTGAAAGAGGTGAATCACCTCCAGAAGCAAAACAGCCAGCCCAAGAGGAAAGCCCAGAAGAAAAGCGAGCAGATGTGCGATATTTTCCCGAGGAGAGCAGTCAATCAGAAGGTTCTTACTTTGTTTCTGAGTCTCTGGAAACATGCAGTGCACCTCTCCTTGATGTTTCACATGATACGTCAACTACACGCCACTACGTGTCCAACAGTGAGACAGCGAAATCTGAGAGTGTCACTGCCGAACATATCTCACTCAACCCATTACATCCAAACGGTGAGCCCGCTCCTGATGAATGCCGAAATATCAACAAGTGCGTCTCAAAAGCTGAGGAAGGCCACTTTGCAGTGAAACCAGCTGACAGTATTATTTTGGAAGTGAGCATTGAAAGCATTGAAAGCCTTGTTAGCGATGCCAACAGCTTCACATTTGGAAATGTGGTGGCTCCGCTTTATAATCAGGTGCTTGGCAGAGTGGGAAGTGAAAGTGATCGGGGAAATCCAGTACGGGCTACACTCAATGTTGGAGACTTACCTCAGAGTAACTGTCACTCTGAAGGGAGACAGACTAGCTGTACAGGGCATGATGACAAACTTCAAGGGGATGTGATTAAATATCAGAAATCAAAACAAGAATGTTTAGGTGCCCCTCCAAAAAGTCCTCAAATTGAAGAGAAGGAAAGCTGTTTGATCGACACAGTAAACAACATCCAACACCACGTAGAAACTCAAGATGATGTTATTCATTTAGACCAGAGATGCACCATCACATCGGAGGTTCCAAAAAACATTGCAGAAGACGTAGTTGTAGATCCACACAGTGCAAACGTTTCAATAACACATTTGTTACAAACACAAACACCCACAGAAGACAATCTCACCCAGGACCTCGAGGATCATACATGTGCACAAACTAAAACTACTCTAAGTGAAACACTTACGGAAAGCGAAACTCATAAAGCCATGGCTAAACTAGAAACCTCATTCATGTCACCTCTAACTTATCAGAGTGAATCAGACTGTGTTAGCGACGAGGAAGACACACAGACCAGCTCTATTGGCGAAAATGGCTGTAAGTGTGTAGAGGAGTCAAACGTAGATAACGTAGACAAAACAGGGATAATGTCGACACCCAATGGCCTTTTAGAGGAGAATAAACTACTAGAAGCTTTACACAATTTGAATTCAAAACACATCAATAATTCTGCTAAAAAAGAAACTGAGGAAAAGGACACTCTGATATCTATTGAAACTGATAAGAGCAACTCGCATATAGATGGTTCAAAACACTCAGCTGAAGTTAAGGTCATAGGTGAGGTAGCTGAGTCAGCGGCAAAACCCAGAATAACTAATCACATACACAGTGATGTGCTCAAAGACTCCCAAAAAATAGAGCATCGTGAAATTGTAAATGCTGTCCCGAAAAGGGGGGATTTTTGTATAGCAGACACTACCGAGGTAAACTGGGAAATGATGGTTGAAGAAGAGGAGAACAGCATGTTAACAGATGAAGAGGAGAGTGAGGTCATATGTTTAAAAGCAGTGGAGAAACACCAAGGAGAGTTGGAGGACACATTTAGGGAGGCAGCATCAGAAATCAGAGATACAACACAGACCGACGACCAAAAGATGGAGATCACAACTGCCATTGACGAGGAGAACAAAGCTGAGGTTGCAGATGAACTAGAGGGCAATAATGGGGTTATAGAGGAGGACATTGGGGAGATCCTGGCTGGAAGACATAGGGAGGAAGTTGAGGAAGAATTAGAATATGTTCGAGAACCACCCGAGGAGATTGAAGGAGAGAAAAAAGATGAACAAGAGGAGATAGAGTTAGAGATACAAGAAGTCAATATTGAAACGACAAATATCCTAAAGGAAGAGGAAGAAATGACGAATGAAGTCAAATCAAGGGAGGGTGACGGAGAACAGGAGGATCCAGATTGGGAGGGAGAGTCAGACATCATGCTTCCAGAGATTATAGAGGATAATGAAGCAGGGGGTTTTGAAGAGAAGGTAGACTTTACACAAAACAAGGATGGTCTATCTGCTCTGGTGAACAATGAGCACAACAAGAGAGTAACTGACAAAGAAAATGGACACATCCCAAATGAAATGCAAGAGACAGATTTCCAAAGCAGTGCGAGAGATGATAACGAATCCACAGCTGCAGAGGAAGGCTCCTGCATTTCGGCAGAAGAAGCTGAAATCGACAGCGAATCAGCGGAGTCCGACTCAGACGACGAGGTGGAGTTATACATGCACTGTCTGAGGGCCGTTCACACCGGGGCCCAGAGCAAAGACGCGGGTTATGTGCAGGGCTTACGGTCCTACGTAAGCAAAGGCAAACTGCTGTCCACACGCATGCCCTCCATCAGTGAGTCTCTGGATGAAGAGCAACACCTGGGCGGCCTTCAGGACAGCCATGAGGAGACGGCAGACTTCCAGCCCACAGCCCTGCCAGCGACAACTGGACAGGGGAGCCTCAACAGACATGTGTCATGGTGGAGAGAGACTTTTTCCTGCAGCAATATCTCCAAAACATTGATATACGCCACCTTGTTAGTGGTATTTTTAGCCGTGGTCCAGCGTTATGATTTTCTTGCCTGTTTCGGGCTCTACTTGGGATCGGTGGTTTGGCTCTACCATCAGGCAGCCAGGACAACAACAACAACAACAACAACAACAACAACATAAGAGGTAGAATTATAATTGGCTGTGAACGGTAATACTATCATTAGAATTTGATATTTTCTCTTCATTTGAAGATATGTGAACAAGTGGTATTAATAATGGTCTAAATGGAAATAGTTGGTAATGGGCATTAATTTAGAGTAAATACGACACATATCAGATGAAATGCTGTATATTCCCTATGGGAGGATGCTAACTCTGTTGTCTAGAGTATGTACACATTTTATTTATGCTTTATTTTACATAAAACTCAGTATTAACGCAGACAACAGGCAGCGTACCATTGCTCACACTGACATATATTTTTGAAGTGTAAATGCAACTGATCTGTGTGCTGTGTGTGTGTGTGTGTGTGTGTGTGTTGATGCTATCTATACATCTTTTTGTTTTGTAGGGTACATTTATTTTTCATAAGTCTTGAATAAATCAAATTGTGTTCAATGCTTTTAATACTATTAGTGTTCAAAACTGTTTTGTGTTGTTAGAGTAGAAAGGGGGTCACTCTTTGTTTTACTTTCCTGTATACAAATACCTAAAATATGTACTTTCTTAGTAAAACAGGAAGTGTTGGAGGCAGCCTAATATCATGAGGAGTAGTAGTTAGGTTTGGGGCATTATGGAAGCCTCTGGCATTTAGTGAACAACTCACAAATATTTCCTTTACCTGAATCAAGGTTTATTACTAGTGTATTTTAATCTAAAGAGGTTAAATATGAATTCCCATACTGGGAGTTGAACCCGGGCCGCCTGCGTGAAAACCAGGAATCCTAACCGCTTAGACCATATGGGACTTGCATTCAGTGATACATTATCTCAGAGAACTGTGGTCATACCCTGAAACCAGATTATAATTGTTGGATTATTCATGTCTCCAGTCTGTTTACATGTCTTAATCCAAGGCTACAATCTGATCAAAGCACGTATGATGTTATCACTTATGAGTATTCAAATATGTTTGACATCAGAGATATAGACCCTGATAAGATGCTTTGTCGTAGCCTGAAAATCAATATGAAGAAAGCAGCTGCTGGGAGAAAATACAAGTTTGATAGTTTAACGTTTTTTTTAAAGGTTGTTCTGTCCTTATCTCACCTTGCCAGCAAAGTTGTTCTAAATAAAGGACAACCCTTGAGGTGTGTGTCAATGTGGATTTCTGACATACTGCCTTCAGTGTCAGTCTGCAATAAATCAATAGACTTCTTTCGATGCTTGTTCAATGTTGTTGTGTCATTTTGTCTCAGAATGAATCAACAGGGAGGAACATTGAGTCCCTTGTGGAAACAGCATAGCAAAAGTTCCCTGTTTGACCTTTGGCTTGTAGCTGTGTTTTGAGCTGAACACAGCTGCAGCAATGTCAGTACAATCCACCGGGAGGAAGACCACGCTCTTTTGCCAGATGAACACGAGGTTGTTTAGCCACCAAAAGAAACACAATAACATTTTCAACAAGTGACACATACAGATAGATAACTGACAGTGCTAAGAGCTTGATCACCTTTCCAGACATGTCTTCTAGATCAATTTCCAATTATCGTCTTCATGGACATGTTATTTTCTTTTATTAACTTGTAATCAGTGAGTTGAGTTTAATATAACCTTTAGATATCTGGGATTCTTTATCGGACCGTGATATTTCAAGAACATTAGATCAGGCATATAGTTAAACGTATTCATTCAAAGTCATTTATGTTTCATTTCTTATCATGACATCACCCAGTCAATTTTTACTAGCCGTGCAGTGGGGCTTTTTGTTTCAACGTCTCATCAGAGCACACTAAGGGGTAGAGTGACCCTAACACATGGTGTAATTAATATTTGTATAACAGCCAAATGTTTAATCCTGCAGACTGCAGCTATGCCTGTCTGACCTCTTTCTAGGACGTAAACTGGGGCAAAAAAGTATTTAGTCAGCCACCAATTGTGCAAGTTCTCCCACTTAAAAAGATGAGGCCTGTAATTTTCATCCTAGGTATACCTCAACTATGAGAGACAAAATGAGAAGAAAAAAAAAAAAATCCAGAAAATCACTGTCTGATTTTTAAAGAATTTATTTGCAAATTATGGTGGAAAATAAGTATTTGGTCAATAACAAAAGTTCATCTCAATACTTTGTTATATACCCTTTGTTGGCAATGACAGAGGTCAAACTTTTTCTGTAAGTCTTCACAAGGTTTTCACACACTGTTGCTGGTATTTTGGCCCATTCCTCCATGCAGATCTCCTCTAGAGCAATGATGTTTTGCGGCTGTCGCTGGGCAACACAGACTTTCAACTCCCTCCAAAGATTTTCTATGGGGTTGAGATCTGGAGACTGGCTAGGCCACTCCAGTACCTTGAAATGCTTCTTACGAAGCCACTCCTTCATTGCCCGGGCGGTGTGTTTGGGATCATTGTCATGCTGAAAGACCCAGCCACGTTTCATCTTCAATGCCCTTGCTGATGGAAGGAGGTTGTCACTCAAAATCTCACGATACATGGCCCCATTCATTCTTTCCTTTACGCGGATCAGTCGTCCTGGTCCCTTTGCAGAAAAACAGCCCCAAAGCATGATGTTTCCACCCCCATGTTTCACAGTAGGTATGGTGTTCTTTGGATGCAACTCAGCATTCTTTCTCCTCCAAACACATCTAGTTGAGTTTTTACCAAAAAGTTCTATTTTGGTTTCATCTGACCATATGACTTCTCCCAATTCTCTTCTGGATCATCTAAATGCTCTCTAGCAAACTTCAGATGGGCCTGGACATGTACTGGCTTAAGCAGGGGGACACGTCTGGCACTGCAGGATTTGAGTCCCTGGCGGCGTAGTGTGTTACTGATGGTAGCCTTTGTTACTTTGGTCCTCTCTGCAGGTCATTGACTAGGTCCCCCCGTGTGGTTCTGGGGATTTTTTGCTCACCGTTCTTGTGATCATTTTGACCCCACGGGGTGAGATCTTGCGTGGAGCCCCAGATCGAGGGAGATTATCAGTGGTCTTGTATGTCTTCCATTTTCTGATAATTGCTCCCACAGTTGATTTCTTCACACCAAGCTGCTTACCTATTGCAGATTCAGTCTTCCCAGCCTGGTGCAGGTCTTCAATTTAGTTTCTGGTGTCCTTTGACAGCTCTTTGGTCTTGGCCATAGTGGAGTTTGGAGTGTGACTGTTTGAGGTTGTGGACAGGTGTCTTTTATACTGATAACGAGTTCAAACAGGTGCCATTAATACAGTTAACAAGTGGAGGACAGAGGAGGCTCTTAAAGAAGAAGTTACAGGTCTGTGAGAGCCAGAAATGTTGTTTGTTTTTAGGTGACCAAATACTTATTTTCCCCAATAATTTGCAAATAAATTCTTTAAAAATCAAACAATGTGATTTTCTGGATTTTTTTTTTCTCATTTTGTTTCTCATAGTTGAGGTATACCTAGGATGAAAATTACAGGCCTCTCATCTTTTTAAGTGGGAGAACTTGCACAATTGGTGGCTGACTAAATACTTTTTTGCCCCTCTGTATACAGTATTACTTGAGGGCGGTGATAAATTATGATTAGTGATATTATTAGTATGTGGATCAGCATTGAAGCCAAGGAGAATTTCAATACGAAGATATGGTGCTGACTTCACACATAAAGAAACATTATAATGTTTATTTAGAATATATATATTCACATTTAACATAACATACAATTCCAATACATGCATACTAGAAAGGATACAATTGACATGAGAGGAATTACAGTTTCAGAGGCCTTTCTCCTGTCTTTGTTACATACACCTTTTCCTGGAGCATTGATATAAGACCTCACATAACGATGTTCCATTAATACCCACGCACAGTTTTCATGGTGAAATTAATCCCAACCATGACTAAACAGTGAAACCAGAGCTAAGAAATCTACGCACTGACCATCATGTGCTGTGTTTGTTTTTGGAAGTCGGGATTACTTATGTTCTGCAATAACGTATAAATGCAGTTTGGATAACACAACTTTTGATACAACTGCATTGTCTTTACTTTGCACTGAATTCAGAATTTGAGCATGACAAAAGCTGTACTGAAAGCTACAAATAATATTACTCTCAAAACTGCTCAAACCCTGCCAATCCTTTGCTTTTTGAAAAATGTAGACTTCAATTTACACCGAAATGTAAATTATCATTGTCAGCAAACTAGTACAATGATAAACACATATTTAGTGGAGATCTGTCTTCAGAAATGTGGGAACCACACACTACTGAAACCATTGGGTGGCACTACATACACAGTGCACGTGAAATTGAATGCATAAGAATGAAATACAACATGTTAACCATATAAAACACGTATGTATTTGTATAAACCTTTTTCCATTCTAAAATATGTTTTTAAACTGATAAGATGTTTGTCTTTTCTCAAACTATCCCATCACGACAGTATAGTAATGCAGTTTTCATCAATGCATTGCCTCTTAACAGCAGTGATATGCAGGGCTCTTAACACTGAAATAATTGATTTACTATGTGAAAGAAATATATACAGATATTAATAAATCTAAATAAAAAGCACACAAATTAAAAGAGAGAAAATAATTGATACCTGTACTACAACTTTAAATATTTAAATACAAATTCAACAAAATTGAAAAATGAATGCATTTTTTAAAGAGATGTCAGAGCAAATAATAAACACAAATAAAAAATATAAATACATAAAATATGTTGCATCTGTTAAACTGTCTGAAACTGTCACATTTACATATACATTGAGTCATGTTATCATGTCATATTCATATTATAAAAAACATACTCTATTTTTGTGTCATGTCATGAGGTTTTGAGATAACTTCAGTAGTTCTGATATTTCCGAGCTGCATTTAAACGCTCCATGGAACGCACGCAGGATACGCTACCAGGCCTCTGATTGGACGCCGCACTGTCAGTTCTACAGCATGTGTGTTAAAGTCAACCAATCAGCTTGCGTTTTGTTGGCTAGTCTGCCGTTTCGCCGGTCGGTGTTTTTTTACAGCTGGGTAAAAGGGGAAGCGAAGCGACTGGCGAAAACAACAGCAGCAGCATCTGCGGTGCGGTGCTATGGACCTCAGGGACAATGTCGAGACCGGGGAGACGGAAAAACACACCGAGCTGTTCTACGTGCCGATACCGGAGGAAGAACCGTGCAAGAGGGAGCAGGAGAAGCTGTCAGGGGTCGTGAAAAACGTCCACAGAAAACTGCGCAGGAAATACAGAGAGGGTAAGCAGCAGCTGCAGGGCCCCTCGCTCTCTGCATGGCCCTGCAGCCGAGGAACTAACACTGAACCTTAGCTCTTAAATTGTAAATGTAATACTTTCTGTTAACCAAAGCACCTCTAAAGATGACATACTCTACTCCTTGCTAACGGTTTTGTTTTTGATACATTGGTTAGCTGTTATTCAGGCATTGTAGCATTATGCAGGCCTTTAAAGCTGCTTAACAATAACATTAAAAACACTGCTAAGGTTATTTCTGCTCACATTTAAGTCCCTGGTGTAAACATGTTTTATCTCTGTTGGTTAAAACCAGCGTGCATTAGTGTAATAGCTTACCAATAATCAGGTGGTGGAAAATGTATTCAGATTGTCTTCTGAACTATAAGTATTAATACTACACAGTAAACATATTCCATTACAAGTGAAAGTCCTGCATTGTGAACGGTACTTAAGTAAAAGTATGTAAGTATAATCAGGAAAATGTACTTACAGTTCTGTAAAAAGAGTCAAAGTACTCTAAAATATAAAAAATATATATATGTTAATGAAAAAGCATCAAATCACATTTCAGAAGCAGAAACGTTGATATGTTTTACTCAAAAATAAATAATAGTTAGCAACATTGAGTAAATCTACTTAGTTACTGCCCATAAAAGACACTTTAGAGCCTATCTCTTGAGACAATACACTACCTATTTCTTATTTATTGCCTATATATGATAACTGTGGACTGAGCAAACCTTTTGTGCAACTTTTACAACTCTATTGTTATTCAGAGATAGACAAACTGAGTAAATACTCCTTTCAACAGATTTGGTCAAAACAAGTTCCTCACAGATTCACTAATGCAGTCTTTGTTAAGTCTTTACTTCCACTGTGAAAGAAATGTCCCTTACGACTTACTCGTAAATAAAGATAAGATTCAAATGGACACTTTGTATAACATTTGACTTCAGGGTGGATTTACTTCTGCTTTTGCAATTTGGGGAAGTACAAAAAAGGCAAAAGGATAACCACTTGGTCGGCGCAGATAATGATGCATCTCTGAAACTGAGATTTCAGACCAAATGTTTACCCGGTATATTGAATGACATCTATCTTCAATCAGAACAAAACCCACAACACAATTTTTAAGACTATAATTGTCCCTTACTGATGCAATAATGTCAAACAAAATGGAGCTTAATCAGGGCTCGACATTAAGGGCTGCCCGATGGCCATCTAGTATTTAGCTCGGGCAATGAAGCCTCACCTGCTGGTTGCCCGATCGGGCAATCTATTATGCCAGTGTCATGCAGCTTGCGGATCCAGTAATGAGTGACCCGACAGTGAAACTAAACATATCTATAACTAGTTACGGTAGTTTGAGAGGTAATTTAAAATAGCTACGTGTGATATTCTAACCTGAAGTGTGTGTTTTGTCCGCTCACCGCTGCATGTGATCATGCAGAGCTGCGTGTCGACTCGTCAGCAGCAGCTGACTCTCTCTCCCCCGTCAGATTAGACTTCACTCGCGTTTATGTGCATATCGATCAGATCCAGCTAGTTCTAGCTAATGATATGACTACCTGCTTATTAAAAGACACCTAAACAATAAGCGTCGCTATGCAACTGGGTGAGGCCACACAGTATAGCGCAGCATTATGCATTTGTTTACATGCCCACCGGAACCCCGAGGCATTACCAACAGATCAACGCACAATCAACCCATACAGCACATCTCTTTCTCCACATTAAGTGTTAGACATTAGAATTGACTATTCTTGTTCGCTCGGCTCCTCTCGACTGCTGCTCGGGTCTGCTCGGTCAGCTTCCGGATGAGGAGGCATTCGTTCGACCAACTTACAGTAGATAACATTACAAACATTTTTAACAGGGGCCATAATAGTGTAAATAATGTTTGTTTTGGCAGTTACAACTGAGTGTAATGTTTTCTACTTTTTTACATCTGGGAAGGCATTTGCCTTCATCAGATGGAAAGTGTCTTGACCAACAACTTAAGTATTTCTTATAGCTATGCAGGACATGCAAGAGAGCAAACACAAACAAGAACAAACAAACAAGTGAAATGAAGAATAACATTGAAATTGTACAATATAATATTGTGGTGGTTCATCTTATAATTCAGTCTAGAGAATGCACCAGACAGGATCTAAGGCCTGCAAAAATCTAAATGTTCTAGGGGGAGGCCCCCCAAACCCTTCGTTTGTCATTTCGTCCGCGCACATTTTTCAGGGCAATCTCTATTGGGCTCAGGGCCATCTGTAAATTAGCTCCCAAAATCCTTAATGTCATGTACTGGCTTAATCCTCTCATGTGCTTGTGTTCCAGTGACGTTAATAATAACGTTTGTGGATCTTTTTTTTTAAAACTCTCTTTTATTGATTTTGTTCGTGGATCTTTCTAAAGCTGTAAAGACTGCATCAGGGTTGAAATTCTACAATAGTTGTGTTTTCAGATCAACAGCTATCTGTCTTGAGAACTAAAACATCTGTCTTGTTTCCCTTTATTAGTCATTTTAAATAATAGCATGGTGTAAAATGGGAAGTTTGGAAAAACCCTTTCAGCACTCGTCAGCGCTGATTGGAAGTGATGCAGTCTTTATATCGAGAAAGGAAACATTATTTTATCATTAACTTGTAATTGTTGCATATTAGCTATTTGCAGGCTATATTTTTTATGTAAGTATGAAAGCCATAAATGTCATGATTTTAAGTTATCTTGTCTGCTTAGCTAATTTGTTTAGCTTGAATTCTTCTGAATCAAGATATCCATTTGAGTACATCACTGCTCCTGAATCTCAGAAACCACAGGCCGTCCTGCTCTTTGCTTCAAATGTTTAGATTGCTAGATAGAGCAGAACGAGAAGACTCTGAACAAGACAACTTTGAATTGTTTACACAATTCATCAAACTTTTCACAAAGGAGCTTAATCTTTTTTGAGTCCAGGCTTTGCTGTTATGGGTGTACTTGTATGTGTTAAAACAAAACATAGCCAATGATGTAAGGTTTTTAAATTATATTAATAAGAAGTCATTTTTGGAGGAAATCAGACACGAGTTAGCGGCTAAATGGTTGTTTTTGTAGAATGTAACGGCACAGAGAAGTGTCCTGCTAGCGGACCTCATGAGTGGTTAATAAGTAAAGCATGATCTGGGAGGCTTGGCATTGAATCACAGCGTCATGCTCCTCCAGTGCTGCTGTTTACCACCACTCCTCCTTGTTGTCCTTTCATTTCTGCAAATCTCAATCTGAGGTTTTTTTCCTTGTGGTCATGGGATTTCTCCCTTATCAGAGTGTTTGCCTAGGCTGCAGGCTGTTAACTGTGAAGAAATGCTGAAGGGATTTTTTTATTTATAACTATGAAATAGCTATTTGAGTAAGATTGTTTTTCGAACGAACAGTTGCACTTCTGTGCTGGCAGAGGAGAGTCGGCATGTACTGTAGCAGTTAATGTAGCCTGAACTTTTTAAACAGAAGTACTGCCATGTTTTGTTGCTGAAGGGGATAACCGAAGTTGGCAAGTATGTTGTGAATGTTTGACTTGGTTTGGATTGATTTTTCACACTCAAAGAAGACAAGATTACAATTTAGACATAGTGATACCAGTAGATTAAACTGTGAACGTATCAATCCTTTTAGTGTTTGAAGTCTTTGATTTGATTGTTTTTATTTGTTAGTTCTTTCCTAATTTCCAAAATGGTTTCCTCAGTGGGCGACTTTGACAAGATCTGGCGCGAGCACTGTAAAGATGAGCAGACGCTGAGTGAGTACGCCCTCGCCATGAAGAATCTCGCCGACAACCACTGGACCAAAAAGTGTGAAGGAGAGGGACGCATCGAATGGTGTCGCAGGTACAACTCCAAACAGCTTCGGGTCCAGATCTCATGGCAGTGAAATGTGACTCTTCTAAATGTGTGCTCTTGGGACATGTCTCTGTCACTTTCACAGTAACGTTTTCTCTTCCACAGTGTCTGTCAAGAATACTTTTTGCAAGGCGGGATGAAAAGAATGTTAGAAAAGGATGAGAAGAGCGCCATGCTCGCCATGGGTCTGTCTGCAGGAGCACAGCCGCACAGCAGCATGCCCCGGTGAGCACACGGTCCATCCTCGAAACATGCTTAAAATGTGTGTTGTTATTATGTATTGTTTGGGGTATGTTTAAGAACATCTTACCTTTCCCCCGTTACCTTGAAATGAAATACACTAACAGGCCTGATCATTAAACCACAGATCAAATACTAATGTTATTTATGAAGAGGCGTTTATTTGTTTGTTTCTTAGATAAAGCATCTCCGGTCATATTTCACGAACTCGTCAAAAATAATCTTTTTTTAGTAACACATCATAATTGTATAACATGTGCTGTCGTTTTTTTGAAAATACGTAATGGGCTCTTGCATGTGATGTTTTGTTTGTTTGTTTGTTTTGGAAAATAAATCATGTGTTGGTTGAATTATGTGTCCTGAAAGACAAAGAGGCACTGTTGGAGGCAGAAGTCACATGGTTTCAACACTTGTTCCACATTTGTGTTGTAGCTCTATGTCTCCGCTGGGGAAAATGCGCCTGCTTGACGTCGGAAGCTGCTTCAACCCTTTCCTGAAGTTTGATGAATTCCTCACAGTCGGGATTGACATAGTGCCTGCAGTTGAGGTACGGGGGCTTATTTAACGCTTTTGTTTGAAATTCTTGTTGACACAAATAAAGTGTTTTTTTTTTTTTTTCCCTGTCAGGTGATTTAGTGCTGGCATTACAGAGCAAAACTCAACAACAGAAATGACTCACACAGGGCTATCAGGGTTGTGGTTTTACAGTATGTGTCAACAAATTGTGCAAAAAGCAGAACCAAAAAGGGCCTTGAAGTCTGCAGCTGCAAGTGGAGGAACATGAACATGACAGTTCATCAAAAAGAGCAAAAGATCAGAATCGGAAATCTTTTATTCATCCCACGCCTGGCATATTTACAGTGTTTAAACAGGAAACAACCAGTTCAGATAAAAGGCAAAACGTTGCATTAAAATACTTGTTATCTTTCGGTTTGAGTCAATAAGGGATGCTCAGAATAAAAACTCATATTTCTACATAGAATAAATGTAAATATAAAAATAAAATGATGAACATTTAATTACAGAAAAGGAAAACAAAAATCTAAGCAGTAATATATTTAGTGTTCAAATTAGAGCAGTGACTCCTACAGTACATATTTCATTGTAGATCGAGCAAACAGAGAGATGATTTCTGTTCCTGTTCATATACTGTACACACACTTACTTGTGTACATGTACATAAACGGCACAACTAAAATCAAGTAAATAAAGAGGGCCGGCACACAATAATAAAATAAAATGAAGAAATACACAACCAGTGTAAAAATGTCATAAGTATCAGCATTTCAAAAAGTAAGTGAACATATAAAGTATTGAAAGAGGAACTTATAAGATCATTCAATTGTAAAATTATTAATTAATTAATTAATTAATATATGCAATTAGATTAGTATTAAAAGTGCTGACATTTTAGTTTCTTCTCCTTCAGAGTGTGTACAAGTGCGACTTCCTCAACCTCCAGCTCCAGCAGCCCCTCCAGCTGGCGAGCGACGCGGTGGAGGCCTTCCTCCGCCAGCTCCACAACCCCATCGACACGCTGCCCGCCCAGCTGTTCCACGTGGTGGTCTTCTCCCTGCTCCTGTCCTACTTCCCCTCCCCTTACCAGCGCTGGCTCTGCTGCAAGAAAGCCCACGAGCTGCTGGAGCTGCACGGCCTGCTGCTCATCATCACGCCCGACTCCTCCCACCAGAACCGCCACGCCCTCATGATGCGGAGCTGGCGCGTGGCGGTGGAGTCGCTGGGCTTCAAGCGCTACAAATACATCAAGTATTCCCACATGCATCTCATCGCCTTCCGTAAGGTGTGTGTGGCCACCACCAGCGATTTGGTGTCACGCAACTACCCGGAGATGCTCTACATCCCTCAGGACTTCCACTCCAACGAGGAGGAGGAGGAGTGTGCCGACGTGCCGGTGCAGGCGCGCTCCGAGTTTGAGGACGACCAGGTGGCGTGGGGCTTCACGGAGCTCCCCGACACGCCCTATGACTCGGATTCTGGGGAGAGTCAGAGCGGCTCGCTGCCTGGCTTCCATGAGCTAGAAGACCCCATCCTGCTTCAGAGCTAGGCTGGCTAAAACCAGCTACCCTGCCTCCTTTCCTCTTCTGTCACCTCCCCTTCAACTGCTGCGCTGCCAAAATGTTAACCTGCTGCAATCTCCTCCCACGTCCCCCTCCCTCTCCTAAAGACAATGCAGTTTGCACAGTGTAAAAGAGAGAAGTTTACAGATTATTTTATCATATCCACACTCGTCTGAGAGTACACACACATACACGCACATGGAAACGAATACAAACACACACACTAAGATGGATATATTTTAATAAAAATCTAGGTTTTTTTAAAGAGTTGGACAGTGAATGCCCTAGAGATGTCTCAGCTCCCTGCTCCTTGATTTACAAACCATCTTTCAATCAGCTTTCAATAACAAATACTCTGTCTCTATTTGAATAAGCTAGTGTGGTAGGCTGCTCAGTGCAGAGGAATAAAAGTGACCCCAGCAGTCTGACAGGAGTTTGGTTGCACTGGAGAGATTTAATGACTGGACTGGTACGCTTGCTTCTGTCACAGTCATGCAGTTAGACTTTCTGAAAAATTCTTGATGTTCATTTAGTTTTCCAAGAAAAAAAAAAAATGTTAAACGTTTTAAAACATATCTCTATATTCTTAACAATCAAAAACATTGGTGTTGTCCGGCGTAAAGTGTGACAATGCAATTTGAACTTGGCATCCTCTAAATGACTTGTGTATCTTTTACAAGAAAGTGGTATTCGTAGCATTTTAAACATTTCTCAGAACCATATGGTAGAGTATTACTAGGTTTACTAATGTGAAACTGTAACTGTGTTTACTCCTTGCGTAACAAGGTACGATTGTTTCGAAGTAGGTATTAGACTTGTATTGTTCCTCTTCTCGATGTCCTCTCAAATATTAGATATTATCATCCTGTTAGATTTCCGTTACAACTTTGTTCTCCAGCAGAGAAATAGTACTGCAAGTCAAATGGACTTTAAAGCACCAGTATCCTTTGACACCGTTTTGAAACTTTGATGTAAATACTCTGCCTCCAAAAAGATCCAGATCTGAGTTCCTCACAGACAATTCTCCTTGACAGAAGAGATTTGCACTAATTTTCTGTTTTAACATACAGAACCAGGTGATGAACTGTAGTAGTTCGCAATAGCAAGCAAAATCTGAAGATGCTGTGTCCGACAGACGGGGGGAGATTTTAGCTAAAGACACTACCTGATATAATGTTAGTGTGTGTTCCCGCCTGTCTCTGGATGGGTGAGATGTGTGGCTGTGGTTGGGTGTGTCAGTGTGAATGAAGGGTATGAGTCCAAGTGGATGTGTTATTGTCTGGCACTTTATCATTGATCCCAAAGGGTGTCACAAAATGTAGTTATTGTTCCTTTGATGACAACAAGATGGGCCCAAAAATAATAATACCAGTAAGTCGAAGGTGCCTTCTTTGTTCCCATTTACTGTTTGTTGCGAGCAGACTTTTGTGCCACTCGAGAAAATGAAAATCATACCTTTTTTAAAACAAATACATATCCAGCTTCTTTGGCCAAACAGAACATGCAAACTATCCGATTCTCCTTTGTCATATTCATGGATAGCAAGAATTTAGTTCAGTGTTGATGTAATGCAGTGTCTTGTTCCCATTTGCATATCGTTTTCCAGTTAATCCACATCTCTCTGCTGATATGTTCTTTGTTTTAACAGGAAATAATAACGGTTCACATTACCACACACATTCAGACTTTGAAGTTTTGTGATCAATTGGTGCATTTGTCTTCCAATTTTTCTGTTGGTCCATTTGCATGATTTGTTTCATCTTCATTATCAACAATGCCGAACAATGTGTGCTTATAGTATGGTTGTATTTCTCTTTTATAAATGAATGTAAATGTCTCTGGTGAGTTGTGTGTGTTGTACTTTTTGACTTCTAAACATACATGTGTCAACCGGTGTCAACTCAGTGTGCTGCTGCTTAAATGGAGTCAGTTGTGAATCCGGAGATCGAGCAGCGAGGTCTTTTGACAACATTTGTCCGTGAATTCAGTAACCAAGCAGTGCACATATAGACCTTAAAGGGGGCTTGAGCACCTGCCCTTTGGCATACTATAAAAGAAGGGCCCTTTTTGTAAAATATCATTTGTGTTTTTTTGTAAATTCACAAAGGGTTAACAACACAAAAGTTCCAAGCCAATCGTTACACAGCGTTTCTAACACAGAAGTGCTTTAGCCAATCAGAATGCAGATCCTCCAGTAGCGGAGGCGGGATCCTCGAGGCGGCAGTGAAAGGCGAGATCTGCTGCTGAACGGCAAAAATATAACTCAAATAAAACCGGAATAACTCATTATAATATTGTCAAATCAAAAACGGTAACACTAACTTCATTCTAAGGTTGTAGTTGTATATGTGTGGTAGAAGGCCAGCGTACTAAAAGCTGGAAATAGACACAGAAGGACTCCCGCATTGGTGAATCGCGGTTAATAAATAGATAACAGAAAGTACATCTGTTGGCAGCACAGAGCTTCTGTCAGCCAGAGGTTAACATCCTAATTGCTCAATCATTATGATAAAATGGGAAAGTTGTTGGTAAGGAGCATTAAGGTATATTAAAGCAATGTTCTGTTTGGTATTCGGGCCGATTTAAGTTTTACTCTGGAAACTTCCACTAATATGAAAAAAAATCACTATAATATTTTACTTAACAAAATATGAAATAAAAAACGATATTTTTAAATGTGAAAATACAAATATTTATTTTTAAAGAAAAGTAATGTTGAATTTCAGAGATTTTAATTTACAACTTTATAAGAGCTGTGTTTCATAAACGAGTACACAAAACAATTTAACTGAGAGATTGGGAAGTTATGCATATTAATTTTCAGTTGATACTTTTCTATCGAGGGAATTTAATCATATCTCGTACACCAAACTAACGTTATAATTTATACTTTTTTGAACGGGGCTTGGCCCTTTAACGTTGGCGAAACCCTTTTAATCCTTAATGCTTGCCGTAGTCCAAGCTAGCGTCATGGCGCCTGTCATCTCAAAACTTTTGACACGACAAACTTTTACATCAACTTTACTGACAGCTACTTTCGGTTCGCTTCATATCACACCTTTATAAACTGAGTTGGACAAGAGATCAAATGAACACAACAGAAAAAACAACACGACAGTCAAGATGTGAATATTTCTGCCTGCTTAGCGTCACTTTGTGCAAAGATGCTTCGATCGTAGCTAACGGTCGTTAGCTAGTTAGCCGAATTTAGTTTGGCGTCGTAACGTAATGTCATAACGGTTAGTAATCCCGCTCATTACTTTGCCTGTTTTTAGCTTTGGTTAATTAGTCTTTCATATCAAAATGTTTCGTTTCCTACGCTACTGTGTCAGCCATTGCCTCCATGCAGCGATGACCCGGCTGGAGGAGGTCAACGGAGAGGTGAGCATGTGGTCATCTGTCCGGTGGCTGGGCTACCTGTCCGGGCTCAACCTGCTGCTCGCGCTGAGTTTGGGGCTCTACGCCCGGTGGGAGAGGACTGCGGACACCACCCTCCTTGTCATCTTCGTTTTGGCTCTGGTAGTCCTCGGAATAGCAAGTGTGGTGTACTACTACTTCAACATGGAGAGGGTGAGCCTCAGTCTCCTCCACCTGTGGTTCGGGTTCCTGCTGGGGCTGCAGTGTTTCTTCAACAGCCCCGGGGTGCAGAGCGACATGAAGGAGCAGGTGGCCAACCACCTTCTGCTGGCCAGCGTGGGTCTGAGGACGTTGTGGGCGCTGCTGGAGAGGCTCTTCGGAAGCACCAGGTACCGTCCCGCATTCCTCACCTCGGCAGAGAGGCTGGAGCTGCTGGGCTTTGCCATCGCCAGCACGGCGCTGCTCGTCCAGAAGTCCCTGAGTGTGATGGTGCTGGTGGTCGCGCTGGCCACAGTCATGATCGCCCTCCGGATGAAGGCTCTGCTGGCTCTTCCCAACTTGATCTGCTTCGCTGTCATCACCGCCTTGCTGTTCTTCGAGTCTCTGAGCATCACCATCAACCCTTTCGCCCTCACCTGCTTCTTCAGCCAGCTGATCTGCGACCCCCTGCTGGATGTGTACTTCAGCGGGCTGTCTGTCACCGAGCGCTGGCAGCCTTTCCTGGTGTGGCGGGGTCTGTGGCGCCGGCTGTCCCTGCTGCCTCTGCTGGGGGTGGAGGTGACCTTCATCATTCTGGCCGCTCGGAAGATGAGACACGTGGACCAGTGGTACCTGGTGATCCCGGGCTTCGTGGTCTGTGTGCTCTTCTGGGCCATCTGCCACATGGTGTTTGTCATCACAGTGTGGGGCTTTCACACCAAGCTCAGTGAATGCCAGAGGATGTGCTTGTCCCAGGGGTCAGGGGTCAGCGGCCTGGACAAGGTGATGGCCTCTAAAGGCATGAGACATTTCTGCCTGATCTCTGAACGCCTGGTGCTCTTATCGCTGGTCTCCACTGTGGCTGTTGCGGCTTTTTGTTGGCAGGTAGGTGCAGCAGACAGCATAGATCTTATACTTTGATTGATCAATACCACACAAGAAGTCTTTAGACAAAAATAACATTAGGAGAGCTGAGGAGAACAATTTGTTCAAAATGTTTTGTCCATGTAGAATTAAAGATCATTGTGTTTTTTCTTTTCAACCGTTACCAAACTTTAACTTGTTTAACTGGGATCCATCATCACTGGTTGCATTCACCTACGCTCTTGTATCAAATTACAGAAAAATATTTATAATTGGAGAAAAAGTCAGTAATGTTTGTGGCATATCCTTCCTGCTCTTCAAACCCTGTGGGGGTCGTGAACCACTGGTTTGGATAGTCTGCGAATGTGTCTTACATTTACGTTTCATCGTCTTAAAAGACACATTGAATGGCTCAGTTTCCTCTATATTTTGATTTGAGTGGTTCTGTTATATTTTGCTTAAATGTTGAGCATTTGCCTTCAGACATCATGCTGTTGTCAGTGCAGTGTATGCCGGTATGTCATCTCCTCCTGTGCTCTGCAGGCCTCCAGCAGTGTCTTTGTGAGCGTGTTCCTGCTCGTCCTGCCGCTGGAGTCTCTGTTCCACGGCCTTTTCCACGAGTTGGGGAGCAGCCTGGGAGGAACGTGTGTGGGCTACGCAGTGGTCATCCCCACCAACTACTGCAGGTAGTGTGGACCGTAACTGCTGGGAGAGTGGGAAACTATCAAAATGCTCATATTTGACTTTATTGTCCTGCTAGGGAATTGGACAATAACTAAACAATATTGTAATGTGATGATGACGGTTCTAAAAGGTAAAAACCATAATCATTCCTTCTTCAAATGAATATTTAGTAAACCATTATTCCTGATATTTGAAGTGTCAAGCTCAGTTTTCCACAAAAAAAGTAAAGAATACAAGTTAAGTGTCATTTAACTTGGTCTTATCCATAGTTGAAACAAAAAAAAAATAGTTGGCTTTGACCCATTACACGTGCCCTGACCTGTGTTGAATGACTGAAGGATTTAAATAGACGTGATTCATTCCCTTCCTCCCTTGTGTTTAATGTTTTATTCTCCCCCCCGCCCCGCCCCCAGTCCTGATGGCCAGCCCACGCTGCTGCCTCCGGGCCAGGTTCAGGAGTTGAACCAGCGCTCCACAGGCATGCTGAACAACATGCAACGCTTCTTCGCCCACCACCTGATCGAGACTTTTGGCTGCGACTATTCCACCAGCGGGGTGAGCCACGACGCTCTGCAGGCCAAGATCAAATCCTTCCTGGAGCTGCGCACCGCAGACGGGCCGCGCCACGACACCTACGTCATCTTCTACAGCGGGCACAGCTACGGCTCCGGGGATTGGGCGCTGGCAGGTGAGAGGGAACTGTCATTTCTTTAAATTACAAATCATACGACAGTGAGTTTTTTTAATTAAGTTATTATAGCAAACTATATTTTAACTTTTTATATGAAATTGATAATGATTTTGCCTTTTTATTTGACAAACTATACTCTGAATCTTTTCCAGCATTTTTCCAGCATACTATGACTTATGGTTTTGTCTTTACATACTATACTATTACCTGTTTTTAAATTACATTTTTATAACATAGTATACTAAAACTTTCTTTTACAACATTGTTATAATATTCTATAGAATAACTACATGTATAAATTACATTTGTATTACTTAGTATACAATTACTTTTTTCTGCATACTATAACATTCCATACTATGTTTCTTAAGATCTGTATGGCCTTTATGATCTGTATGTTTATAACATACTATATTAGAAAATGTTATGGCATACTGTACTTATATTATATTTGTTATGACATATAATAATATGACTATTCTTATGAGTTTTTGTGAGTGTCTTTAAGGCATGCTATATTTATATTTGAATCATCTGAGAATCTCATACTATCCGCCTCATTGTGTGTGCCTGTGTGATATTGAACTGGCTGCTGTCTCTTCCTCTCCAGGAGGGGACACTCTGGGTCTGGCTCAGATCTTGGAGTGGTGGAAGGAGAAGAACGGCAGCTTCTGCTCGCGCCTCATCTTAGTGCTCGACTGTGACTTCTCGCTGCCGTGGGTGAGGGAGGTCAGGAAGGTGGAGGGTCTTTACGTGGCCGTGCAGGGAGCGACGCTGGCCCGAGTGAGGGACGTGGAGCTGCAGGACCCCCCGCAGCTCGGAGACTTCACCGCCCAGTGGGTGGAGTATAACTGCAACTCCCACAGCAGCACCCAGTGGTCCGAGAGGGGCCGGCCTGTCTCTGCTGTGTACGGCATCTCCAAACACTGGAGCGACTACACGCTGCACCTGCCCACAGGAAGTGATGTCACCAGCCACTGGAGCCTGTACTTCCCCCGGGTCACCTACCCGGTGGTGCAGTTGGCGCTGTGGTGCGGGGGGCT